GAATTTTTACAACCAGTCTCTCTGATAAAGGCCTCATTTCTAAAATATATAGAGAATTAAGACAAATTTATAAGAACACAAGCCATTCCCCAATTGATAAATGGTCAAAGGATATGAACAGACAGTTCTCAGATGAAGAAATTAAAGCCATCTATAGTCATATGAAAAAATGCTCTAAATCGTTATTGATTAGAGAAATGCAAATCAAAACAACTCTGAGGTACCACATCACACCTATCAGATTGGCCAACATGACAAAACAGGAAAATGATAAATGTTGGAGAGATGTGGGAAAATTGGAACACTAATACATTGTTGGTGGAGTTGTGAAATGATCCAACCATTTTGGAGAACAATTTGGAACTATGCCCAAAGGGCTACAAAAATGTGCATACCCTTTGATCCAGCAATAGCACTTCTAGGGCTATATCCCAAAGAGATCAAACAAATGGGAAAAGGACCCACATGTAAAAATATTCATAGCAGCTCTTTTTGTGGTGGCAAAGAATTGGAAATTGAGAGGATGCCCATCAATTGGGGAATGGCTGAGCAAGTTGTGGTATATGAATGTAATGGAATACTATTGTGCTATAAGAAATGATGAACAGGCTGACTTCAGAAAAACCTGGAAAGACTTATATGGTCTGATGCTGAGTGAAGTGAGCAGAACCAAGAGGACTTTGTACACAATAACAGCCACGTTATGCAATGACTAAGATTGTTAAACTGAACCCTTCTCAGCATTATGAGGATCTAAGACATCTCCAGAGGCCTCGGGATGGATAATGCTGTCCACATCCAAAGAAAGAACTATGGAAGTCAAATCGCTCTCACTTATTTTTACCTTCTGTTGAGTTTTGTTTCATCTTTCTGATGGTTCCTCCTATTGGTTTTAATTTTTACTTACAACTTCACTAATGTGAAAATATGTTTAATGGGTATGTAAATGTAAAGCCTATATCAGATTGTGCGCTGTCTTGGGGGGGGGGGGGGGGGAGGAAAAGGGAGAAAAAATTTTCAACTCAAAAGCATATGGAAAAAAAATTATTAAAAAAAAAAAAGAGTCAGGTTTAGAATTCAGGTCTCCTGATGCAAGTTCAGTTCTTTCACAAAGGGTACTAATAATTGCTTACACAAACCACTTAGTTGGGTAAATCAGTCAACATTATCCAGGGGTGGGGAACCTGTGGACTCAAGGACACATGTGGCCCTCTACCTCCTCAAATGTGGCCCTTTGACTGAATCCTGGAGGACCTAGAGGGTCACATGTGGCCTCAAGGCTGCAGATTCCCCACCCTTAAAGTACTATGAGAAAGAAATACAAAAACACAGTTCCTGCCCTCAACTCTAACATGAGAAGACAATGCACAAATAGGTACATATAAAATACAGAGTACATGGTAATCTCAAAGGGAATAAAGTGTAGGGGAGAAGGAGGGTAGTGATGGTGGAAAACTTTACTATAGAAGGTGGAATTTAATCTGAGTCTTGAAAAAAGCCAGGAAATGCAGTGGGTGGAGGTGAGAAGGAAGAGTATTCAGTGCATGAGGGAAAGGCAATAAAAAAGGCAAAGAAATGGGAAACAAAATGTCACTTACTAGGTACAGCAAGAAGGTAGGTGTTGTTAGATTGTAAATATATGAAATGGAATAAAATGAAAGACTGGAAAGTTAGGAAGCAGAGCTTTAAATGCCAAAGAGAACATGAGAACATTTTATATTTGATCTAAGAAGTTATATGGAGCCTCTGGAGCTTTTTGAGTAGGGTGTGTGTATGAGAGAGAGAGAGAGTGAGAGAGAGAGAGAGAGAGAGAGAGAGAGAGAGAGAGAGAGAGAGAGAGAGAGAGAGAGAGAGAGAGAGAGAGAGAGAGAGAGAGAGAGAGAGAGAGAGAGAGAGAATAGGGAAGTCACTTTGGTAGCTTAAGTGGAAAATGGTATGAAGTCAGGAAGGATTTGAGGTACAGTCTAACCAGAGGGTATTTGCAAAAAGTAAAGTTGTGAGTTGACGAAATCCTGTAAAAGAGAGGTGGTGGTTGTGAGTAGAGAGAAGAGGGTATTTGTAAGAGGCAATGAAAGGAGAAAGGACAAGAACTGCCAACAGATTACATATATGGGTGAGTGAGAGGGGAACTGACTGAGTATGACTTTGAGGTAGAGCCTGGGTGACAGTCCATTAGACTATGAGGTCCTTGAGTACAAGCATTATTAATCATTTGCCTTTCTTTGGATCCCCAATGGCTTAGTTTTAGCATAGTGCCCAGCATATAACAAGTGCTTAATAAATGTTCACTTCATAAATAAACTGACTGGGAGTTTACTGTCTGGGAAGATGACAGTAATAGGGAAGTTTGGAAGTTGGGGGGCCAATCCATGGTTTTTATGTATATTCTCTTTCCCTTTTCTATTGGACACTTGAAGATACAATTCACTTTCTCCTTAATTAAAACTGTCCATTCCTAATAAGGATGATTTACAGTCCTCTCAATGCTGAAGGCTGCCTACAAAGTGTCAAAAGATGATGTGAAACAGTTCTTTGTGCTTTTCTTTCTCAGTCCTACGTGGCTTTGGTGATACAGACGTTTCTTCTCTAGCAGCAGTTTGCCACATAACCGTTTAGACCAGGGGTGGGGAACCTGCAGCCTCGAGGCCACATGTGGCCCTCTAGGTCCTCAAGTGTGGCCCTTTGACTGAATCCAAACTTCACAGAACAAATCCCCTTAATACAAAGATTTGTTCTGTAAAACTTGGGACTTATTCAAAAGGCCATGGCCACTGAGCCAAAAGGCCACACAAAGGCTTCAAGGCAGCTGGTTCCCTACCCCTGATTTAGAGGTTAGCTTCCAACATAGTGCATTTCAGCATGAATCTAAACAAGGCTTCAGGTTCTAAAGAAATAGAGCATTGGATTTAAAGCTAGAAGGGACCTCAGACACCACCAGCGAGTCCAACACCCTCAATTTGCAAATGGGAAAACTGAGGCACAGAGAAGTAAAATGACTTGTCCCAAGTCACACAGTAACAGCTTGGATTACAATTCATGTCTTTTGAGCATAAATTCAGTGCTTTTTTCACTATTCCAGGCTGAAATCCTGAATATTTTAAATCTTAAATAAAAACCGTGAAAAGCTTGTAATATGTAGGTTGCCTAGGGAGGCAATGATCTGGAATTAATTGTTTTGAAAACAAGCCATTTCTCAAGCACACTGCCTAATGGCTCTATGATCTTCAATTATCTTTCCAGTTTAGACTGTTCCAGATCCTATCTCTGCTGCACTATCTACTGATGAGTCTCTTGTATACAATATATTTGTAACTCTGGCAGTTATTAAGCAACTCAATTTCATATGCTTGTACCAGTATATATTTTTATGAAAAATATGTAGAAGGATTTCATTATCAGAGAAAGGTTATTTTAGAACTGCTAAATCTTAGCATTTCTAAATGCTTAGAACTTAAAATCTTAGAACTGGCTACTCAGAATCATGTCAGGGAGGTGGGGGGGTGGGGTGGAGAGCATTTTAGATAAGGAAACTGCCACCAAGATATTTCAGGAGGGATAAGGATAGGGGTGGGTCCTGTGATGTCATTGGTATTAAATGAGTACCACTGGCCACAAGGTGAGAGTATAGACAGACTGAAGCAAACCTATCACCATTAGAGGCAGAACAATGCAAAGGTCAAGTCAGTAGCCTGTTTTCATGCATGTAAAACATAGACTGTGATATTTCAATAGGGTTATAAGCTCATTGATAAGCATATCCCCTTCAATGCAATGGTGCAGACCACAACCTAACTATATTCTCATCCTGTATGGTTCTTATCTGTCTCCTTCCCTAAATCCTTCTTAGGAGAGTCAACCAAAATACTAGGTGAGAATTACTTTAGACCTTTTGACATTACGTGAGTACTAGCATAGCACTCTCACTCCATGACCAGCTCATCTCCCTTTCTGGTCATACATCTCGAAGAATATCATTTATGCCAAAAAAGACAGAGATAAACAATACATATGGTAAGGAAAACCATTAGATAAGAAGTCAAGGAGACCTGGGTTCCATTCTTGGCTTAAGCCATCTGTCTGACTCTAGCCAATTTGCTTCTTTCCATACCTAAAATTTCCTCAGCTACAAAATGGGTATAATACCAACCCCAGGACAGGATAACCTCTGTTATCACTTCCTACTCTAAAATACTGATTTCCCAAGGTTGTTAAATGAAATAGTATGTTTGAAATGACTTTGGAAAGTATTAAGTGCTTTATAAAACAGAAGCTATTACCACACAACCCTAAAACATTTTCAAACCTCTCTAAGGGATAAATTATTCAGGCACATTGGCCAGCAATATCATTCACACAAAACTTAGCAGATTTTCTATTTAACGAGAATACAATTCATTTCTTAGCTCAGTAATCTGATAGCTTGACTTAAACCATATACCACCCCACTGTCCCCAATGGAAGGGACTCAACTGAAAACATTTATTATTGATTTATGAAAATGGATACAATTTAACAAAACGTCCTGAGCTTCAATACTTTTATAGTCATAGACATCCACCCCGGAGAGATTTACCAAGTATGTTTCATTAGAGTTCTGCAAAAATGTGAAATACTTCTCACATATTCAAAACAAATATTTAATTCTGAATTTTAGTTTTCCCTCAAGTCTAATACTTTAATGAACCTAGGTTTCTTCCTGAAATGAAGGCCCCTCTCTTTAACAATATTTTTCCAGTAGTGTTAGATGGTTCCAAGTCATGGCATATTATATTCTACGAAGAATGTTACAGGTCACTCAAAGATCAATGGAGAGCCACACAGAAGAGGTAAGCTGCAACATATCATCAATGAAGAATAGCACAGGAAATCAAGACCCAAAGAAATAAAATGACATGTTCATGATCACACAGCAATTGTGATAGGTGAGATTTGAACCCAGTTTTTCCTAGCTAAGAAACCAGCCCTCTATGATGTCATATTATCACCTGCTCTACTTTCAGCAAAAAGACCTCCAGGAAATTCCCCATGACAACTCTATGTGTGGCCTTCATCAAGAATGAATCCCATTTCTTCCACCTGAGCAGGCAACCTGTAAGTAGCATTCTCCCTCCCTATTTGTGTCTTTCTTTGATCTTCATTCATATGCACCCCCACTCCCAGGCCATCCTCCACAGGTTTGTCTAGTTCTACACAGTTGTGGCATCATCCCATCAAGCTCCCCATTGTACCATCTGTCTTGCCTCCAAATGACCATTCCCCTAGCTCCTACCACATAGAACATTACGCTGTAAAACTGTCGTTTTCTGTAAGGCCCCTAGTGCCACATCTCTGGGAAGTGAAGTGGGGAATGGAGACAGGAAGAGCAGAGAGCAGATGCCTGGGAGCCATAGAAACTGAGGCATAACAAATTCGTCACCTGCGCAACTGGGTTTCTACTCCCTTCCCATCTCCCCTCTTTCACTCATTGGCATGAGTTGAACTTGACAGCCTCTAAAGTTCCTTCCATCTATGGATCTATGATCTCAGCAGACGTACATCTTATATAAAACACTTTTCTATTGAAAAACACTTTTTCTATTGTGTGCTAGCACAAGCATGAGCCCACAAGTACCCACCTAATATACAGATGTTAACATAAGAATAGAATGAACGAAATGGATATGCTCTCAAAACCCTCAACTATCTTCTGAAGAAAAAATGCTACAGCAAAGTATTCAGGAGTGGATGGAGGTTACCAAACAAACTAGAAATTAGAGTTCTTTTAAAATCTTGCAATTTAAAAAATACAAATAATTACCAAAATACTCATATGCTTCGATAATTGAATTTTCTTGGATAAAATCCTATTAGTGGCTTATTGCCAAGATATAATGATTGCAGCTTCCGAAACTATCAAATGATAAGTCAAAGACTAAGGCTATGGGAAAAGTTTCCCTTTTCTGCAAATGAAGGAACTCAGGTATTTTCGTTGATCTGCTTTGGCTACTCAAGTTTGAGTACAATACATCTCAAGAGTATTAGTACAACTTTAACCTTAAAAAAATCCTAAGACTTTTGGGCCACCCTGTATAGTTCATAATTCTATAAGAATAATAGCACTAGTTGTGAAATTTTAATTAACTATATAAAATCATAAAACGAAAAGAACATATCAAAGGCATTCTTAGTTTTCATAATAGACTTTCTCTAAGGGCTTTATTTCCCCTAAATATATTTCTATGAATCTAATCTCGGTATTACCCCTCCATTTGTATGGACAAGTAACCCCTTCCACTTCCACTATGTGTTTTTCCAATTAATTCTTGAAAGCAGATCTACCCAATGAGGTGGTATAGTTCTTCTTGCTCGTTTAATATATTTTGGAGTACAGCATTCAGGTTGTCCATATATTGTCCATCCTTGATTTCTAACATCACTTTTCACACATGAGTCAGAGTTGGCAATATACTGTAGCCACCATGAGTCTTCCAATGCCTTTGGGTCACCTGTAATTCTGTACTTTCTGAGACCGTGTTGTTCTATTATTTGCACAAAGCTCCATAAAGTATCTAAGACAAATATTGTTAAAGACAAGCTCTTTCAACACACAAATATTTGGGATTACTAACTACACAATTAATGAACTAAAATTTAATTACTCCAACTTTAGTCTGAGGGAATTGTCCATCTTTAGAGCCTATCCAAAAGCTAGAGATTAACTCAGTGGTTTGCCCCCTAACTGAAATAGAAATCTGGACAATGAGTTTTCCATTCACTGTTTTTAAGTGCATATGATTAAGCTGATCTCATGGGGAACTTTTGTGCTAGGAATTGATACAATTAGTATAATGTTATCTACAAGGAAAAGAATCTGAATATCTCACCAAAAAGGAATTTTGTATGATTTTGTTTAGAAATATTCTTTTGTTCAAGACATCCTTGTGACAACAGTAATCACCTTACATGAACCTACCATTGTCGTATTTTATGTAGATCTACCATGGAATCTTAAAGGTCATAAGTGATCCAGAAGAGATGAAGTTAATTCAAAACCCTTATTTTACAGATGATGAAACTAGTGAGAAGAACATGAAAATTTATACCAAAAAAAGAAGAAAGCTACTATTTGTATAATGTGCTAGGGTGCAAAGTATTTTTCAAAGTCAGGCATTATTAAGTTGCATTCACATTAACTCATTTAACAGGAGTACAACATAGTATGACATCATTTAAGAGAAACAAATTATTATAACTAAGTTTAACGTGAACTTTTCTAGACATTTGCATTAATGACTGGCATTCCACAAAGAGGGTAGATGAGGGGAGCATATAAATGAGAATCTGAAAACCAAGTGAGGTCTGAGAGAGATGCATAGCCATTAATACATTAATACAGGTAGCTTCTGAGTAACCACCATGTTATAGCTACAGGGAATCTCCTTCCTCAGCTGCAGGAATTTAGGTTTTCTTTCCTCTTAGTTTATGTTGGAAGAAGGCACATTCCAAGCTGCGTCCTGATTCTTATCTTGCTCCAGTGCTGGTCTAGGGTAGGGTTTTCCCCACAGTGGCAAAGGAGAAAGAGAAGATAGATGATCAAGAAGGCATTTCTTATTAACACTTTTATTTTGAATCTTTGAGATTCCATTCAATGTTTCTGCATTTCCACCACTTGAATTACCTGTATTAACTCCAGAGTTGAAAGAAACTCTGCTGAGTTGGTGTGTGCAGGGTATATTGAGCTAGGGCTATTTAATCTGCAGATAAAATGAACATGGCTGCAGAAATCTCCATCTTATAATATAGTGCAAGGAAGTGCAGGATTTGAAGCCAAAAGAGTTGGGTTCAAATACTGGTATTAAGTATCTCTGAACCTCAGTTTCCTTATATAGCAAATGAAGTTAAATCAAATTACCTCCAAAGTCCCTTCTAGACTTTGTATCCCTAGTACATGACAAACAGTAAGTGCTTAATATATGTCTGGCTGATGGATTTGTAAAATTGTTTATAACATTAAAAATTATAGGCATATAATGACAATTTGGCTACCATAATGCACAATTTACTATGTTTACTTACTGTTCATCTTCAGTAACTTTATCTTATAAATCTGAAAAGAATGTCATAATTCAAAGTACATTTACTTATATATGATAGCATCTATTTTTTAAAATCATGTATGTGTACAAGACATTCGTACAAATTGAAAGTCGTTTATCTTCACTCCTCTAGATGGAACAAGTAAAAAGTTACCCATACTTCAAAAAATGAAAATGATCACTCACTGGCCACTACTACTATCTACTTGTCTGGGAAACTGCTGTTAATTCTGATATTTTCTGCAAGCTTCCACATCACTGGGCCACCCTGTGCAGATAATGCAGCATATTCTGGCTGCCCCAATCTGACAGCATCTACAGCTATGTACGTGTCTATGGTGATGGTTGACAGATAACTGGGCTGAAATCACTGTTGTGGGTCTCATCTTTGAATTGAGTGAATCCCAAAGTTCTGGGAAAATGTGTTATAAGAACTAATAAAATGTAATTCAATATTCATTTCACCATTCTTTTTTTTAGGCAGTGTCTAACCAACTATTATGAAGCAAAAACTGGAATAATTATCCTAGGAATCAAGACTCCTTAACATCAAATTATGATGGATGGTGGAAAGAGGGGAGTATGTGTAAAATTCATCATTGTTAGCTGCTGTAAATAACTAAGAAACATGCATGTTATTTTTGTCATATAAACCTTTATCAAGTTATAAATTAAAGGTTGATTCCTTTCTGATAAAAGAAAAAGACTTTAGGTTTACCACTCTGAATTGCATTCATTCAAATGACAACTATAAATATGAAAGTATATTTTCATCTACTTTGTGAGACATAGGCATGCCATTCCCTGGACACATAAAAGTAAAATTTAAATACTGTTCCTCAAAATAGATTTTGTGTCAACTAAGGATAAATCACCAAATTGCATATGGTATACAATTACTTCATTTTTTATGAATGATTAAAATATATAGAAATATATTCATGTTCATTTTACTTTCATCACTTTGGAAGGAAATTGTATTTCTGACAGGAAGTAAATATAAATCGTGACTTTTAGTATACTAACATAGAACACTTATCATTCAATCTTAATTTTGGTGTAGACATCAATTACTTAAAAATAGAGAATACATTTTCAGATTTCATATCTGATGATTAATTTTTCACTGCTTACGCTCCATGCAAAAACAGAGCCAACTATATTCTTTTAGCTATAAATATCATTGACAATCCTTGACGTAAATTTTAGAAAATACAACACAAATTGCTCATATGACCATTTGGGTTTAAGAAATGCATAAAATAAACTTATAGCACAAACTTAATGCTTATTCAATTTTAATATTTTTGCATTCAAAGCAAAAAGTTAACATTTTTTTTACAAATAAATAAATGTCTTTGACCAAATAAAAGACTTCCTTATTAACAAAGTACTATAATGAAGTACAAGTAGTATGAAATGTAAAAACTTCACTATACTGTAAATCTCAAGAAAAACTATATTGCAACTTATTTCAATACCTTCAACAGGGAAATGAGAAAGTTATCAATTGACCACTACCCTACAATAACCCTCATCCAGCTACTGGAAGACTCCTAACTCTGAATTCACAAAGTTTTATTGGAAAAAAAAAAAAGTACATTGGATTGTTTTCTAAAATATAATTTAGATGCAATTCTAGGGGCACATATCAAATAAAATATATTTATCTTGGTGTTTTCACACTGCAGGTTTTAACTAGTACTCAATCTTTTTTTTTTTGGGGGGGGTCAAGTCTTAGGATTTCATGATGTAAATGTGTTAAGTTCATTCTACCAACTAGTATCTAAGGAGGAAACTCACAACCAGAATCCAAAGTACTCCGGTGTCAGAAGCATTCTAGTTACTTAATGATTAACAGGAAACCAGCAGTGTGACCTGTTAACTCACATACTGAACAGGAAGACTAATGTGTTGTATTGTCCCAAGTCTATTCAATTCCAGTGAAGCTAATCACATTTGATGAAAACTTATATCCTTTTGTTTAAAGCCATATGCATTACAACGAACATAATCTGTCACTAAAGCCAAAAGCACCCATGTAAAAATAGTTGTTAAAAAAAATCAGCACCAAGAGTATGAGATATTAAGCCTTACAGATATTAAAGTATCTCACCCCCAGGAGGTCCGTATTTGTCAATGTTATTGAAACAGAAACTAAGTGATTGAGAGCTTACTGAGAAAAAGTGACTTCAAAAGCAGAATTTTGCTAGAAATCCCATTCCCAGACTTCCCCACTAAAAATGTAATAACAGCTCTGAGAGCTGGCTCCCGCACAGCCCTGATTATGACTCTTAGTCTTCTCTCCCACTTTCCAGTCAAGAATAATTGCTGCTTATCAATCAGTAAGACTTTTCTACAGTGATTATTTTCAAGTGCTGTGCTTAGCACTGACTAAGCTATAGACAGTCCAGGCCCTTAAGGATCAATATGACTTAGTAAGAGTTCAGTTGCTAGCTACTTATCCCCTGGACTGAAATGCAAACACAGAATTAGGTGTTTTATTGTAGATGGAAAAAGGTCTAGAAAATGCATGCAGGCATGTTTTATGTAAGTAACAAACTAAGAATGTGATATTATAAGCCATCCATGACTGCAGGAAAACAACTCTGTCATACAGAATGTTTCCTTCTAGCAGCATTAGATACAGAGGCTTTTTCGTACTCTTTTACTCTAGCATTCAACCTGCCTGCCTGAGGGCCTTTTAAAGTGAAAATATGAAAACTCCCTTCTCCAAGAACTAAATGGAATAAAATAAATGCACCTTGGTTTTCAATTTTGTATAAATCGTTGAGGCCTTGCTCTTTTTAGCATAGAAAGAGAAATGGGAAAGGGTCTTATGAGAAAAGTAAAGGAAGCCAAAACTGAAGAGCTTTCTAGGTTTTTCAGAGACAGTTCACTGCAACGTGGCTTCACTATTTTGTTTGACATATTACAAGCTTTCCAGAATAACAGACACCAATATTGAAAAAGAATAAAACAAAACATCTCTCTCAGAGAGGTAGTGGGCAGGGATAAAGGAGAACTTTAGTTGATGTAAAAAAAGATAATACAATTTTTATTTCTAAAAAGAAAAAATAAAATGTATAAACCAAAAATTATAAAATAGAAATTATTTTATGGATTATTCTATCACCACACTTCTTTCCTCTCCATTAATGAAGACATAATTGAAAGTTCCTTGCACAATTATAAAAGGATACAGACTACGAAGAAATGACTACTTGCCTTCATTCAAGTTTGATATTAATGTCCAATATTTCAAAACAAAGCAGACCTCCATTATAATGCTAGTGCCTACTATAGGCAAGTAGGGAGATATCTTTGTTATATAATGCAAATTATGTCATTTACATAATGGATATAAACTGACCAATAGTACAAAACATTTCTAGTCTTTCAACGTATTTAATAAATGCAGTTTTCCTTTGTCAGTATAATTTTTAAAATCACCTTCCACCAGCTGATATCAGAAAAAGTTATGTCTTGCAATAATCTGTAAAAATCAAGTTGCTTCTCTAAAATTGGTGTAGACAGAACATTATGTGAGTGGGCAACTAAGTAGTGATAATACATAAGTGGCTTCTGTGTTGATAATTCGCTTCTTTTTTGAAGATAGACATATTCTGTCTCAACTAACAAAGGTATCAAATTATTAATACTTTGTCTGGTATTAGAGATGGATCAGAATAATGTATCACATATGGCCTCATGCGGTAAGATTATTTTGGATAAAATTTACCTAAGTATACAGTCTCCTCTCTAATAAACAGTAAAAGCATTAGCTTGTCTAGAAATACTTTAAATAGACCCAGTTCAATATTTAAGAGTTATAGACTTTCAATACTTAAAATACATTTTATTTTAACTAACAAATGAGCTATTAGTCACCCATATGGAAAATCTATTAATTCCCTGCTTATAACGGCACAGAATTATAAACTTTTCAGGATTCCAAAAAAGACAGTATAGTAACTAAAAAACCTTCATAGATATCCAATGACTTGGCAACGTTCATGCTAATAATACTTATTAGGTGTGATGATTTTACATTTTAATTCATACACATTTATATTTAAGTTATTAGCAAGTAAAAGACAGCATTTCCCTCTTCTGATTTATTTCAAGAGCACAGGAATATAACGTGAAGTTATAAAGAAACAAAAATTATTTTAAACACAGCAGAACTTATATATGCAAATGTATTTGCTCCCTTCAAAGTAAACAGTTTGTACACTTACTCCAATCAAACTGCCACTGCTCAAAATATTTTTTAAAAACCCTGCTTTTGAAACTGCCTTCAGGAACATTCTGGTGAATATTCTCCACATTGGAAATGGCCAGTGGGTTTCTTGAAATCGTCAAAAGTCTGGGGCAGGTAGGTGGTGCAGTGGATAGAGCACCGGCCCTGAAGTCAGGAGGACCTGAGTTCAAATCCAGCCTCAGACCAAACACTTGACACTTACTAGCTGTGTGACCCTGGGCAAGTCACTTAACTCCAATTGCCTAAAAAATTAAAAAAAAAAAAAAGAAATTGTCAAAAGTCACTTAGCATCAAATCTAAGAGGCTGAACGCTACCAGACTTGTTTTCTTTGTGTGGTTGCCTCGCTTGGTAGTACCAACGTGGCTGAGGTGCGTATAGACTCCTTAGGTGGTTATTTTAAAGGAGACAAGATGCATTTATTTACATAAAGTCTGTTCTGTATAATCTCTGAGGACCCTTCCAATTCTTAGATTCTGTGGCACATAAGTGAAAAAAAAATTACTTTAGACTTAACTTACACTTTGCTGATTTTGAGCCCACTGAGAACAAATGAAGATATTTACAACAGCATCTTGAAGAGCAAGTCAAATAATTACTTCAAGGATAATATATTACGATAACATATTATGGAATAAACATGGGGAAAAGCTCAGCAATCTCTATTAATAAAGATGACCGAACAACACAGGACACAGAAAACGAATTGGTAAAGCTACTAAAGGGCCTTAATAGCATGTATCAGTCCAAGGATCTCTAAGGAATTCACCTTTTCAATGGAGAAGGACTGGAGCAATTAAGGTACAGTCACCAAGAGATTACGAAACAAACTTGCAAAGCAAATTATATTAGAAAAATATACATTATGTCTACTCAAAATAAAAAACAAATGGGAAAAAGTGCTAGACGTAATGTGGCTATTATCCATGGGAGCAAACTCATCAAGGATGAAGGACAAACATACCAAGGATCTTCACCTTTACAAGCATTAGGGCCAGCTGGGTGGCACAGTGGATAGAGCACCGGGCCTGATGTCAGGAGGACCTGAGTTCAAATCCAGCCTCAGACTAAACACTTGACACTTACTAGCTGTGTGACCCTGGGCAAGTCACTTAACCCTAATTGCCTTAAAAAAAAATACAAGCATTAACAAATCAACAAAATCTCTTAAACCCAGTTGGGCAGCATGGCCTAACAGATCCGTGGACTCAGGGCAATTCACTATACTTCTCAGTTTCCTCATGTGTTAAATGAGAGTGTTGGACTTGATGTAAGTTTCCTTCCAGCTCTAAATCCAAGATCCTACATATCTTAAAGGAGAATGTTGTGGACATAAGGATTACTTAAAGAGAAGTTATCCAGA